CGGTGCCACCCCTCACGCAGATCCGCGGGGTCAGGGGGTCAGGGTCCAAAAACACATGGGATTTGCCACATTTCTGAAATTCGGTGCCACCCCTCACGCAGATCCGCGGGGTCAGGGTCCAAAAACACATGGGATTTGCCACATTTCTGAAATTCGGTGCCACCCCTCACGCAGATCCGCGGGGTCAGGGTCCAAAAACACAGGGATTTGCCACATTTCTGAAATTCGGTGCCACCCTTCACGCACATCCATCGCAAGGCGTGGTAACCCAAACTGCGAGAACTCCCTCGGCCCTTTAATCGCAAGGTGTGGTAACCAAGCCCGTAAACCATACACGTCTTACCAATCGCCAGGTGTGGCAACCCCTCTTGTGATCAGTTGGTTTTGCTGATTGCGAATCGGCTTCGCATGAAGTTTCGATATTGCTTCACGACAGCGCCAAGGCCTCATGACTTAGCTCTTCCATGGCCCATTCTCCGAGAGAACGGGCCGGCGGCAGGGGGCGAAGCCCTTGCGGATAATAAGCCTGCAACGGAATCTGGGTCCCTTCCAGGACAGCCGGCGCCCGGCAGGGCCCCGCAGCTGCCGCGGGGGCGGGGGCTGCTGGGCGAGCGGGGCCGCCCCCAGCTCCACGGCGCGGCCACGGTGGCACTGGAGAAGCTCGGCACCAACGAGAGAGATATTGCGCCAGGCACTGCCGGCCCTCAGTCGTCGGGCGCCGCCGAGCGCCGACGTGAAGCTCGGCGTTGCGGCCTACTTCCTTCGCGGAGGACGTCGCGCGAACCGGCGGAAGGGGGGCCCACTCCTGTTCAGAGCCTGGCACGGGCCCGCGGCGGGCATTGGCGTCGAGCCGTCAGCCGTCTACGCGCCCTACGAAGGCTTGTCTACGAATGTGCGATCCAGCTGCAGTTCGGCGCGCTTCGCCCGGCGAAGCCCTGGGCATTTGCGCCCGTGCGCAGCTGGACATCACGGGGGAAGCCCCAAGATGGAAAGCGAGAAGCAGCCGCTGACGGAAGGCGCCACCAACCCGCAGGATGAGAGTCGCGCTGACGATCGAGGCTCCGAGATGGAGATTGGAGCAGCTGAGGACTTCGACGAGCATGAGAAAGAGGCGGGCGAGTTTGCCGCGTCTGGCACGACGGCCGCTATGTCGCGGGCCGAGGACAAGAACGACCAACTTCCTAGAAAAACTCTGGGATCGACTTCGAGGTCGGGGGCTGGATCAGGAGAAATCCAGGGCGCACCGCATTGCGAAAATGCCCCAGAAGCGAACGGGCCAGATATTGGAGCGACATCCCCTGGAGACGTCGGCTCAACAGCCTGCGGCATCAGCTCAACCTGTCCCAGTACTTGTTCCCGACGGACAGTTCGGCACCCCATGGCAACTTCGCTGCGAGCGCGCCTCCGCTCCAAGAAGCGAAGCAGCCTCAGTCTCCGGTTGACAGTGGACCTTTTTTGGAGGACGCGTCTCACGCGTAGATTCAAGTGCAGAGGCGCGATGCAGAAGCAGCTGGACTTCTAAGAGCACCCTCGCGAGGTTGACGAGACGGACCTCCGCCGCCAGGCAACGTGCTGCGGGTCAAGAACGCGGCGAAGAGGGCTACCAATTGGCTGACGGAGCCCCCGGAGGTCTACCGAAGCAAGTTCCTGGATCACCCTGAGGACGCTTCTCAACCTGATCCGCGAGATGAGGCCTTACAGGTTCAGGGACAGGCCCGCGCGGAGATGGCGCGGGGTCTGATGGATCCGCCGACCAAGGCAGACTACGATGGGGCCGCGGCAATCCGGCGGAGCAAATGGGTTGACACCGAGTCCGCGGGCGCACTAGCGGAGGAGGAGTCGCCGAGGCTCGATGGGGCCCATGAAGCGCGGAGGCAAAGGCGACTACGCACCGACCACGACTTGGGTGCTGACCGACAACGAATGACCCGTCGATGACAGGAACCACCTACCTACCCTGGATGGCGAAAGCCCGCCTCGTGGTCGACAGCGGGGGCCCCGACCGTTCGGACGAGAAAGCGAATGTCTGGGCGGGCGCGCCCTGTGCGACGACCCAGTCGGGAATCATTCAGATCATTCAGACCCAGGCGGAAGCCTCGCACAAGGACTGGAAGGTCGGTTCCAAGGAGGTGGGCGGCGCCATCCTGCAGGGGGAGATCGACGAGAGGGGCCCGGTGATTCGGGCCCCGCTGCACGGCCCACGGCCGGTTGATTTTCCGCGAGCCGACTGGCGCGAGCGCGGAAGCGGAAGGGAGTTTGCGGACTACCCACGGCGCCGAGACTTCGGCGCCTGAAGGCGATTTCAGCAGCCCGCAATTCGGGCCTGGAGGCCTCCATCGGACCCAACTTTTTCTATGCTGCGCGACCCGATGACGAAGAAGCATGGCCCAGACAGTCCGCGGGGGCGCGCGTGCACTCACGCGAGCGATTTCCCCTGGACCGGCAACGAGAAGAAGGCGAAGGTGATGGGCGAGCTGGGCAAGCAGTTTGGCTTCGGGACTGAGGAGCACGACGACTTCGCTCTCTGCGGAAGACGGTTCAAGCGCCACACTGGGGGGGCCCTTCGCATTGATATATTGAAGCGCGCTGCTGGCAAGGAGCCTGCTGGCAAGGAGCCTGCGACACTACCCGGGGCCCGCAGAGCTGCGCAACGCCTTCCAATGCACGCGACAGAGTGGAAACAGCACCAGCAGGTCGCCGGCAACATAAATTGGCTCGCGACGAAGCCGCGCGCGGACTGCGCCCGCGACTCGGCGGCGCTGCAGCGCGGGAAAGGCCGGAAGAAAGGGCCTACGTAGGATCGCAGGCGCGACCAAGGCGAACCAAATGCTGCGGAAGCTTAAGCGAGACCCCACCTTCCAGCTCGCGATTCCCGCGATCGACCCGAAGAGATCAAGGCTGGCGGTGGTCTCGGACAAGTCGCTCGGCAACGCGATGAAGGGCGGCGCTGCACTTCAGCCCGACACGGCCACCATGAAGACTGGCAGCCAGGGCAGGTGCCTGATCATGTTCGCGGGCAAGGAGCTCGCGGACGGAGGTGTCGGGCGCTTCTCCCTCCTGGAGGGCACTGAAGCGGGCTGCGAGGGGCTCTCGCGCGGCGGAGGTGATCGCGATCGGCGACGCGGCGGGCGTAGCCCAAGGGTGGCCCGACCAAATCGCGGAGACGTTCTACGGCCCCGTGCCAAGGGGCGCGGGTTTGAAGCTCTCTGGCTGGCAGATCCCGACGACGGTCGCGACGGACTCCAAAGGCGACCGCGATCGGATCAACTCGGACGTTGGCGTCGGCAGCTCGACTCAGAAGTCGGTGAGAAGCTCTGAGTTCGCCAGTAGCAGAGAATTTCTGGACAAACCGCGGACGACGGTAACATGGACTGCTCCGGACATGCTGATCGATGTGCCGACGAAGGATATGCCAGCTGACCATTTGCGAGAGGCTCTGGTCCGTGGCTCATGGACTACTGAGTTTCGTGAAGACACTGCGGAGACGGCCAAGCGGGTGGCCCGCGAGCGCTGGGAGGCGCGCGTGAGGGAGCTTGCCAAGGACGGACAGCTCACGCCAGGAACCCTGGATACATAAGGAGGACCCCTGCCCCTCCGTGTTCCTACCTCCTTCCCCTTCTCGCACGCTCGAGCCCGACGTATCGCGCACACCCTTGCCTGTCTGTTTCCCGAATTTCGGGGAGCTGATATCCGCATGAGTGTTAGCTGCGAGGCAATGTTACAGTGTTAACTTTGATACAGGCCTACATAAAGTTACATGTCTCTAGGTTGGGGGTAGCTCCCGCGCACTCGCTTCTGGAGATACTGCTTTTGCTCCTGGACAAGCATCGTCCTCTGGAGATCTTGGTTTTGGTTTCTGTCGAAGCTATGCGTGTTTCAGGCTTTGCTCAGGCGACGGGTTCGATTCTGCAGAGATGTCAGATACGTCTGAAAAAACGAGCCCCCTGGATCAGACTCGCCCCCCCGTCCCTTTAATACCCCTTTTTGTTTGCATGCTGATCTCCCCTGTCTGTCTGTTGCTGCTGTTGCTCCTCCTCCTCCTCCGTCCATAACCGTTTGGCCGACAGCCGGCTTGAGGCATGTTCGGCTATCACTTGCGATGTATAGACCGATGAGGGCGTTTTTCTCTCATCGCTGCAACGATTGCCCCTTTGGGCCCGCCTAAGCCCAGGGAGAGAGGGAACACGCGAGGAGGATCGGATCCGCCACTGGGCGGCGACGGCGACGGCATAGCCGCCAAACCGACAAACAGGCCTAGATGACGGGCGACGAGGCGGCGACGGGGCGGCGACGGCGACGACATAGCCGACAGACTGACAGACAGGCCCAGACGACGGGCGGCGACAACGCGGCCATGAGGCGGCGACGGGGCGGCGACGGCGACTATACATACGCCACAAAACAAATTAGAATCTTCATGCGCAAACGCTGTTTGTGGAATTTCTGTAGGGACATGTTAGAAAGGAGCTTGGACGGAGCGTGTGTTACAACCATAGCTGGTGCGTCGTTGGTTTGTAGTCCTCCTCCTCCTTTGCTTTCCCTATAACCAATCATAATGTTAATATGAATCCTCTGCTTCGTACCACGCAGTGTTTGTCACAGGCACATTAAAAAATGGTAGTTGGAATGGGAGGAGTCGCGCTGCTTTCATTCGCAGTATCATGCTTATTGGTGACAGTATGATGAATACCAAACGTAGTAATGGCCTTATTCTAAGTGTTCCTGGTCTGCGTAGTAGTACTCTCTTGGGGTTTGTACGGTTGGTGGTATTACTGGCATAAATAATCGTCATAATGGTATTATGTATGCTTCCTCTTCGTCGTCGTCCTACTCCTCCTCCCTCCTCCCACCTTTTCCTCTTGCTGGCCTTGCAGATCCGTGGGCCTTCCGAACCTCCATTCCCCACCCCTCGAGCCGCCCGAGAGCGCAGAGGGCGACGCCGGGCATGGCGGGAGCCGCTCGCATCTTCAGGGTGTGGAAGATCTTAGACTTGGATGCTCTCAGGCTCCGCACCGGGAGGAGGAGAGAGGGGAGGAGGAAGAGGAGGAGAAGGAGGACAAGGAAAAGGAGGAGGAAAATGAGGACGAGGAAAGAGGGAGGGCGACGAGCAGGGAGGAGGAGGAGGCGGCTGAGGAGGAGGAGAGGGAGAGGGAGACGAGGAGGAGGAGGAGGAGGAGGAGACGCAGGGGGAGAGGGAGTAGGTGGAGGAAGACAAGGACCAGTTCAAATCTAAGACGCATCAGCGACATTGCAATTAGCCCTCCTTATAAATTCCCTCTCCACCTGTCCCTAAACGAATGTATGTTCATTGTGGGAAATGACCCATGATATGGCAACCGTTTAAAAATCCGCATTCATGCCAACACCATATTACTGGGACGGCAACGCCGCGAACCAACGTGACTGATGCGTCCTAACAAGTCATAACCCTGCCATAATACCAATCGTGGGACTTCAACACCGCGAATCAACGTGGCTGCTGCGCCCTGGTAATCATAAAGCGAGCCAGGACACCATTCCTGGCACTCCAACCCTGCGAATCCTTGAAACTGCTGCGAACCTTAGGACAAATGTGCGCGGCGCTAAGGCGAACACCACATCCTGAACTGGATCTTTTACAACGAATGCGCGCGGCGTTAAGGCGAGAGTCACATGTTGAAACTCCAATCCTTGAAACTGGTGAGAACGTGTAACACGAACGTGCGCGGCGCTATGGCGAAAGCCACAGGTTGAAAACCTCCCGCCTTCCATCCTGGGATCTGCTTCGGACGTGTAAGACGAATGTGCGCGGCGCCAGGGCGAGAGCCACAGCTTGGAAAATACCCGCCCTTCATCCTGGAAGCTGTTGCACAGTTCCAGCTTCAGGGTCATACACAACGAGAAAGTCTCAAGCGAAACGCCAAGCCACCCCTACCAACACGTTAAGGGTGAGCCTGGGAAGAGTTCGTTAGAACGCAGAAATGATTCCGAAGGGCCAGGAAAGGAGATGTCGGACGAGGACAGGAAGGGGGAGGAGGAGGAGGAGGGCCAGGAGGAGGAGACGTCTGAGATAGGAGGAGGAAGGGGCAAGAGGAGGAGAAGGACGAGGACGAGAAGGCGGAGGCGGAGAATGAGGAAAAGGATGAAGGGGAGGAGCAGATTTGCTTAGATTGGACGATGCGCTGCGCGCGGTTCCACAGGGTCAAGCCTGGGAGTTCACCTCCCTGGCCAGATTCGTGCGACCAGGCGCGAGCCCCTTCTCGAAAACCCTCAAATAGGCCAGCCCCGTGTGGGTGGGGGGCTGCCACTATTGCACAAGCTTCCCGCCCCTCCTGTAATGGTCCGTGCCGAAGCCATCGCAGGTTGAGCAGGCAAAGTTAAATTCCTTTCGAAAGCCCACCCCCACCACCAATCACCGCATAGTGTGACAGGCTCGCGCAGTCAGGCCGCGGCAAATAGGAGCCACAGGGACAGGGGCCTGACAAGAAGGGTCTGCGACAGGTGAGGCACTGCAAGGTTTTCGAATCCAACCTACAACCGTCCCCTTGGACCTATCATGGGGTCCAGACCCGCAGGACCAGCAGCGCTAGCGATGTCGGTCGCCGACGGGCCCCAGGGAGCGACCAACGCCTGCTTCAAATCCTTCGTGGGCCGAGCGGCCCCTAGGGCCGAGTATTATCCCAGTGCGACCCTACCTAGGAGTTCGAGCATGTAGGAAAGCAACATCTACATCTAAACCGACAGCTACATTAACATATACACCTGCATCTACATCGACGTCAACATCAACAGCGATACTCACATCTACATGCTAGGGTACGCTCGGCTGCGCTGTGTTATGCTAGGCTATGCTCTGCGATGCTGCGCTATGATATGTTATGTCATGATTTGCTATGATATGCTATGATATGCTATGGTATGCTGCCCTATGCTATGCTATGTTAGGCTATGTTATGATGATCATCGCTATGATATGATGTGGTATGGTATGCTATGCTATGATATGATATGACATGATATGGTATGATATGATATGGTATGATGTGTTGCGCTATGGTATGATATGATATGATAGGCTATGATCTGCTATGGTATTTTGTGCTATGTTATGGTATACTGCGCCGCGCTATGCTAAGCAATGGTATGATATGATATGCTGCGCTATGCTATGCGATGTTGTGATGTGTTGTGAAATGCGTTGCTATGCTGCGCTGAACTATGATATGCTGTTATATGCTTGGCTATGCTATGCTATGCTATGGTTGATGTGTTAATGCTGCGCTGCGCTTTGCTGCGCTGTGCTAAGCTAAGCTAAGGTAAGCTAAGCTATGTTAATCTAAGCGAAGCTAAGCTAGGCTAGACTAAGCTAAGCTAAATTAAGCTAAGCCAAGCCAAGCTAAGCTAATCTAAGCTAAACAAAACTAAAAATGCGCCACGCTTAGCTAAGCTAAGCTAAGCGAAGCTAGGCTAGGCTAGGCTAAGCACAGCTAAGCTAAGCTAGGCTAAGTTAAGATGAGATAAGCAAAGCTAAGCTAAGGGGACGCAGCTGGGGGAACCGCGGGGCGGGGACTGGGGGAAACGCCCGGGGCGTTTTACACTGCCCGGCCCCTTTTCAACAAACAAAGTAAGAACCCTCTAGGCAGAGCCTAGGCAGGGAACAACTTCAAAACATGCCGAGAATCACGCATCTTTGCCGAAATGGCGACTCGGCGGCGGCGGGTGTCTTTCGAGCTCACGCAATGTTTCGGCCGCTCCCGCGGGGACTCGGGTCTCAGGAGACACCTTGTCGGCCAGCTCGTCAGCAAAAGTGTTGAACGCGAAAAGAAGCCTACGCCCAGGAGAGACTCGCACAAAATCACAATGTTTGGCGCGTCTCTCGAAATAAACAATCTCAATGTCCCCGTTCAAAGCAGGCCCCCTCGCCAGATTTCAGAGGTCGCGGTTAGACTTGGGCTTCGAGCGAGCCTTGGCTCCGAGTCTGCACATGCCCTTTCTGGACATATGCGCTGCCGGTGAGGCAAGCGAGTCTCCTGCCATGGGTGGCTCGGGCAGCATCAAGAAACGCAGCAAGCTCCGAACGTTTGCTGCCCTTCCTGGCTCCTGGGACGGCACTCCCGAACCCTCCTGACTTCAGCACCTCGTTCACGCCTTCCGGGACGGCCCCCCAATTCACCGAGACCGCGGCCTGAGAAGTTCTGCGGGGCAATGGGCACCCTGAAAAGAACCCCCCCCGAGCCGCCCCCGCCAGCCAGATCCGCCTCTCATCGCGCGAGCCACGCAGGAGCGGGCGGGGGGGGGGGGGCGCCAGGAATCAACAAGGGAAAATCGGGCAATGACGCGTCCAACCTGACAACGTGGTCGTCGGGGGGCTCGGGGATGGAGATCCATGCCTTTGGAGAATTACCTCTCGCCAATAACATGGGTGCTCCAAGGCGCCTGCCACGGCCCGGTCAACCAGGCGCTGGGCGGCCCGGCAGCGGGGAATCTTTGGGCCCCCAGGAGGAGCCCAGCAGCGGTGGAGGCCGGTCTCGGGCTCACGGCCACACCTCGGGCAAATGTTGTGGGCCGGCCTGTCTCGGGGTCAAAACCCCGCTGCGGCGACAGTGCGCTGCCCGGCCTTGAACGCGCGTGACCCCTTCTTGGCCATGGCCCTCAGTGCCTTTCGAGTGCTCAGCTGCGCCCCCCAGACCTCGGCCGCCACGATGCTTGGAAGCGGCCGCCCAGGCCGAAAGCCTCAAGGACGCATTAAACATCTCTAGGAACGGCCCCCAGCCAAGGAAAACCTCATCGTCAAACGCAGAGGGGCCAGTCCCAAGGTCCCTGGGGGTCCCAACCTGCGGCGAGAAGTACAGCGATCGCGACTGCCATCGCGCCGATAACCCCCCTCCAACGCCGAGACTGAGAGGGGTCCGCGGGAGAGACCGACTGCTGGGCCAGGTGCCAAGCCCTCTGGGCTCTGCGCCAGAGGGGGCTAGAAGAAGACATGAGCTCAAACCATAAACTGACATTGCTGACCGGGAGCGAAATGGCGGGGCCCTGGCCCCCTAATCTAGGTCCAACGCGGCAGCGAGACCCCCCCCCGCCCTAGACGCGGCGAGCGTGCCCAAGGAACGCCAGAAATCATTCATCGTGTTTGGGGCGAGGGAGATAACCTCTGTTCTATGAGCCATGCGCGGCACGTCGCCCGCGGCGTCGGCCCGCCCGGCGGCCCTCGACCCAGCGGCGCCCCTGGTAAGCCTCCGAAGCTTACCCGCCTGCCACCAAGCAAGCATCCTCATGGCACGGTACCTGGCGGGCCTCTACAATCTTCCGGGCCCCTCTCGACCCCCTAGTCCGCCGCGGCCCCCTGGTTTCTCACCTGGGGGCCATCAGCGCGGAGGGGCGCGGTGATCTCGGTTGCCGACATGCGATCCGTGGCTGCGACAGCTGACTTGCCAGGCAGAGCTAGGCCATCCTGCGCGACAGCCTGGACAGAAGCACATGCTGCGTCGGCGAGGCGCCCGACGATTGATTCCGGGGGCCCCTCGACACGAACGCTAACATCACCAACCCAAGATTTGGGGGCCAGGCCTCTGGGGTAAAAGGAACGACGCATCGACCCCAGGACGGGGTAAAGAAACGCAGCGGTCACTTGCTCGGCGTTTTGGCAACCTGCCACAATTCCGAAGGTGGGGCTGATCGGTTCACCGACCGCTGACCTGTCTCGAAGGATTATGGGCCCCAGGTAAAGCTGGGCGGACAGGACAAGGATGGCGGGTGCGCACTCTAGGTCTGCGACGCGGCCCACCAGCAAACAAACGCAAAGGGAACCGAACAATTCTGTCACATCGCAGAAGAGGCTGCCGCGCGCAACTCCTATCGCATCCGCAGCTTCGCCCATGAAGCGCCTCGCAACTGCTGCTCTGAGGGCGCTCCCCCCCCCCCCCCCCTGACAGCCTCGCCCCAGAAACCAAGCTGCCCGTCCAACCAGCCCCTTGAAACGTCAATCCTGAGCAAACTCCAGAGGCGGGAGAGCCAGCTCAGGAGGGCGATCGCCCGCTGGCCCCCCGCCTCCATAGGGGTTAGGCCTATGATGGTGGGCAGCAGTTGCCGCGGCCAAGTGAGGACAGCCTCGACGCTTTTGAACGTGCCTTAGCTCCGACTGGCCCTGGGGCCCAAGCTCCCGGACGCCCCCGGGCCCAAGGTCGTCGATCCCCCGACCATGTCTGGACAGAGATCTGACGGAGGCCCGCTTGGAGCCAGCATGTCGGAGGTGAAATCCGAAAGCGCCATCCGTGGCCAGACTCCTGCCTCTGTCAAAAGCAGCAGAGACTCTGTCCCAAGCTGTCCACGTGGGGGGCAGACCGCCGGGCGAGCCAGCGGGCCCTGCGGCGGCCACGGCCCCCCTCGGGCTGCCTGCGAGGCCTGAGTAAATCAGCAACTCCGATTGGACCTTCCCGCGGGGTCTTGGAGTAGCGACGCAGCCTAATTAGCTTCTGCGAGAGGGCCTCCGCGACCCAGGTTTTGAATTCAGCGCGCGCTGCACGGGCGGATGCTCGCTTAGCATAAGTAGCTATATATGGCACGAGAGTCGGAGCCAAATCTGGCAAGAAATAACCGCCTCAGGATCTGGGCCAGCGAGGGCCCGCGCGGGATAGGGCGCGCGCGAGCTCTTAGCTTTTGCTGAGCTTCGAGGCCGCGAAAGGCGGCCTGCTCCCCAGCGACCACTAGGCGGGGCGACGCTTCCCCGGCCGCCGCAAGGCTGGCCACCTCGCCGCGCCAAGTGGCGACGGGACCAACGAAACGCGCAGGCTGGCTCTTCCTGGTCATGCGCGCGACGCGCGGGGCAGGCATCGTGGCCCCCTCCAAGAAAAAGCCTCGCCGGCCACGTGGGATGTCACGCGGCCCCGCGAAGAACTTCTCCAGGCGACCGACCCAGCTCGAGCAGAGGCAACTGACCGCGGAGGATTTGGTCGAGAGCCTGAAGCCCCGGGAACCCTGGATGTAGCCTGGGACGGGCGTCAAACGGCCCCATCGGTGGTAGGTCGCCCCAGACGGCGCCCTTCTCCGCGTCAGAGTAGCACCTGGAAGCAGCGACGGCCCAGCGATCCTGTCGGTGCATCGGGGACCCCCCATTCACAATGCTCCTGGGCGGGGTCGCCCGGGAACCAGGCCTCGTGGAGGACGGCTCGGGCGGAGGGGCAACGGGCGGAACTGCTGCAGCCGCGGCAGACGAATCCGGCGGCGACCCAAGACCCTCAGGGCAGGTCTGCTCGTGGAGATAGGGCAATCAGCGAAACCGAAGTAGACGCGCCCCTTCCTGAGCCCAGACCGCCCCCACCTTCCAACGGGGCAAGTCGGCTCGAGGACAGGGGCAACGGGCGGAACCGGCGAGGGCGCCCCCCTTCCCGAGCTCAGACCCCCCACCCCCAGCGGGGCAGGTCGGCTCGAGGAGAGGAGCAACGGCCGAAACCGAGGTGAGCTGACTTCCTGAGCCCAGACCACCCCCCCATCCAGCGGGGCAGGTCGGCTCGAGGATAGGGGCAATAGGCGATACTGACGAGGGCGACCCCCGCCCTGTGTTCCGACCACACCCCCGTCCAAGGGGCGCCGCAATGCATGCGCCCGCGCGGCGGCAACCCGAGATCCCCAGGACAGGTCGGCTCCAGGCCGGGGGCAGCGCGCGAAATCGACGCAGGCGCCCCCCCCCCCCGAGCTTCGGGCCCCCCCCCTCCCAAGGGAGGCCGCAGTAGTCGGCCCAGGCGGCAGCCCGAGATCCTCGGGTCGGCAGTGGGCCCGCTCCATGACGAGCGGCAGGGGCCGCGGCGAGCGCAGCTGGACGCCCCCTGGTCGCTCGGACCTCGCCCTCGCCTCTCGGAGGGGGTCCTCCGCCGAATCTCTTGATAGGCACGAGGGGCGCGTCGTCATCCGATTGGTCTGAGGTCGCCCCGCGTCGCAGAGTAAAGCAAATCACTTTCCACCCCGCCCCCCGTCGAGATCCGGCCCTCGCCGCGGACGGGGCGGGCGCGCAAAGCGACGAGGCAACTGCGGCGCCCTGATTTCGGGCGCACGGGTATTGCCATGCAACTGGGGCCAGATGCCCCCGCGCCCCCCCCCTGCGTCGTCGGCGAAACATTCGCACCTGAGCCGCGACGCGAGATCGGGGACGAAAAATAACTCCAGCGCGTTGTTGTGCGGTCGGTTGCAAGTCCAAGCCGCGTTCTCTGGCGCGACTACCGCGCCGCCCAACAACTGCGGCCAGTCGGACGCAGTGAGGATCGACGGCGGGGCGCCCCAATCTGCAGCGATGATCCAAGGCGCCCTCGTGAACCCCAAAAACCCAGGCACTGGTCAGTTTCTCTGCGCCGATACTGCCAGGCCTCGAACCTGGCGCGAGGTACTACGAGACGAGTATCAGATCTAACCCTCCTGTGAGCTCAACCGGCACCAGGGCGAACTCCTAAAAAACGATGACCCCCCCCCCTGAAAACTGGACCTCCAGGCGCCCCCGACCTTCCTCCTGGCCAGGGGTCCTGCAGAGATCCTCGCGCGAGTGGCCTTCGAATGCGCCCCACCCCCCCACGCGCGCCTGCGACAGATCCGCCAGACCGCTCGATGTCACTCCTGGCCATGGGCGGGGACACAATGGCCTACCAACCGCGCTTGTCCATAGCATTGATAATGGTAGGAGAACCGCCCAAGTGAGTCTCCGCGAACGCCACCGCGCCCGCTCCTCCAACCCCGTACTTTATGTCGTCGAGCGCACTGACTCTCCACGACGCGACGTTACGAAAGTAGAAAGGTAACTGCCTGTCAACCGATGCCCTCTTCTGACCCCCACTCCTCTGGCTGCCCACCCCCCCGCCCTCTCGCGGCGGGGGGCGCGCCGAGCCCCCCCCCCCCCCCCTCGGAACGCCGAGGGCCCAGCCGTTCGCCGCGGCCGACACAGAGTGGAGAATGATTGGGGGCCCAAATGAACCCCCTCTCGGGGCGCCGAGGGCGCGGCAGCGAGTGGCTAGGAAGAGGAGGGCCCAGGATCACCATCCACGCGCCATGCGGTTTCCCGCTCGAATGCCTCCCTGACCTCCTCTGTCGACCTTGTCCTTGCCAGCGGGCAACTGGCACTCCGAACTGGAGCCCGAGACCGATGCCGCGGGGCCGGCTGACGAAGGTCCTATACTCAGAAAACAGACATGTTGCTGCGGACTGGAGCTGGGAGACCAAGGCCCCCCGTCGCCCCTCTGCTTCCTTGAGCCCCACCTTTTCAATATCCTCGTCGCCCCCCCAACTGAAACACATCTCAGATCTCCGAAGTCAGTGGTGGACCCGCCCAACGAACGATCCAAGAGCGCGCGGAATGACAACTTCGGCTTGGCTTGGCTGCGGACTGCTCCGAGTCCTGTTGGGCCTAGGGCGCGCCGCCGCTGACCTCCGCCGGTAACTGACCATAGTCTGCATGTAGCACCTCCAGTGTTTCTTTGAACGTGCCGATATATTCCCCATGGTTGTCGACGTCACGCTTCCATTTGAAGTATTGAAGCATTGGTCCATAGCGTTGGTGAGCTTACTTCCCTGCTGGTCGAGTGCGCGCCTAGACGCCCAGGCTCCATTCGATGGGTGGCGGCAGAGGCGGCGCTTTGTTGAGCATCCTGAGCTGTTTGTCGCATAGATCAATGAGCGATTTGTTCACGATTTTGCTTGATGTCTCACGCAGGCTGGTGAACTCGTCTTTTCCGAAGGAGGAGACATCGAACTGAGCGCTGGACTGCGTATCCTCGGAATGCTTCTCCTGCGCGGCAGGTGGCCCCCCTGGCCCGTCTAGAATCCGGAGAAGGTTGACTGCTGCCGGAACTCGGGCCCGTTGGCTTCCATTCACCACAGTGCTTGCATCAACGGTAGGAGTTGGGTTTGTTCCTACACCCACACGCCGTACACTTCCACAAGGGGCCCGCATACAACCATGGTCTGCGACTCAAGCCAGTATTCCCCAAAGCACTGTTGTCAGCAAGCGGGGGAGGCTGGCTGACCATCTTCCTGGGAGCACGGCGGCGTGAAAACGCGGGACCGTCGTGACGCTGGCTCGGCCTCAGCAGCGCGGAGCTACCCTGAGGTGGCCGGGGAAAGAAGAAACTGAAAGCTGGCCGCGGACTAGCGGTATCCAGCTTATTTCCAAGGGAATCCAAAAACTTGAGCCATAATGGCTACGGAGAGGGGGGAGGAGCAGGATGAGGGGGAGGAGGAAGAAACTTCGCACCATCCGGGCGAGGCGCACCACTTTCAGGAGGTCGACGCCAAAGCTATCCGGGGCCCGGAACAGGTCCAGCAGGACCGCCACGATCGTGGCGAACATTGTGAAGCAGTCGAATGCGTTCCACCACCTCTTTGCACTCTTTGCACCGCCAGAAAGCTGGGAGGCAACTCCTGGGAGGTCTTCGTAAGAACGATTTAGGGCGATCAAACCAGATTAAGGGGCCATTTAGCTGGAGCAAGCCAGATTGATAGGCCGAATAAAAAACGGTATTGAATGGGACCAAACCGGATTACGTAAACAGGATTATGCTGGCTTCGGCAAGATTTGGACAACAGAAATACCAGCGCCAATGCTGAACTGAACTTTCCAGGATTTGCATCCCAAAGAAGGCATGAAAATCTGCAGAACTTGCCCCAAATCCGAGGTGAGCGGTGGATACGGATATACACCCCGTCCCCCTCAAAAGCGCGAATATCTCCGTATTCGCCACTCCTCGAGAGGACCTCGAGGTCCCGGGGCCTGACTGGGAAACGGTGGAGTGGGTACCGATGCAATCTGACGGTGGACCTCTGACTTCCTGTAAAAAACTTGACCTGGTAGGCGAAAATCCTGAGGGTCAGCTCGAGGAAGAACACGAGCGCGAATGCAATGTCCCCCGCTAGCCAAAACCATCTTCGGCCGTTGTCTATGTCGCCTTGCTCCAGAACGGTATGCAGAACCCACGCAGTTTGATTCCCCAAATAGATGGCGTTCATAACGATGATCGCAGCCTGGCGCGCGTAACCCCCCTCTTCAACCTCCACCTCCATCTCCCCTCCCAACCGCTCCATCCCCCCTCCCCCCTGCTTGTTTACGTTTCCTCATTTCTCCCGCCACCCCCTATCCAGTCCTCCCACATTCGTCTCCCATTCGCCCCTCCCTCTTCCACTTCAGACTCACGAAATCCCCGCGGACCTCAGTTTGCTTGTGTATATGCAGGCTACTCTTCGTCGAGAGGCCCAAGAAGGACCAGAGATATACAAAAATCTCTATACAGGGAGGGAAGCATACACCACCAGGTATCCACAGGGCCATCTGGGACCAGGTCTTGGGGCACAACGTCTCCGCAAGACCTGGCTCGTACACCAAGGTCTGGCTCAGATTGGACCTTGTGTGCCCAGGGTGGTGGTGGTTGTGTACTTTCCCCCTCTGGGCGATTCGAACTTCCCCCCCCTCCCCCATCCCGCCTTCGCCTCTAGAGGCCTCCCAGATGGAGTCCGAGTGGATGGGGTCGGAGGGTCACGCGGCATCTCCGATGCATCTCCGATGCATCGACGACGCATCGGCGACGCATCGGCGACGTCATCGTTGCGTCGGCGACGCAGGCGCGGAGACAATCGGGCTCAACGTCGAGACGCATCGCCGATGCATCGGCGATGCGGAGCGATACTTCGACCCCATCTACTCGGACACCATCTGGGAGGCCGAAAGCCTCTTCCCCCCGCCCCTGGCCATGGAGTAGTCGAAGGAGTTCCTGCGCACCCACTTCAAGCGGGCCTTCAGCTCCTTCGCGCCGTGGAACGGGAACAAGTTCGCCGTGGCACCCTTCGACTGGTACCTTGGCACACCTCCTCCTCCTCCTCGAAGATCGAAACGTTTTGGAAATACTGCCCTTTTGCGTAGCTCCGGGAATCTCTGGAGGCATCCGGGAACCACCTCCTCCTCCTCCTCCTCCTCCTCCTCCTCCTCCTCCTCCTCCTCCTCTTCCTCCTGGGCCGCCTTGGGGCTCGCTTCTGGGCCTCGTGGCCCGTCTTGGAGCGATCTGAAGGGCCTCCGAGCGAGGCCGTGAGGGAGCGCTGGAAAGCGGAAAAAGCGAGAACACCTAAATCCTTCAAAAATCATAGGAAAATTAGTGAATCTTGCCTCCCAGGGCCCTCTTGGGGAGCCTCTTGAGTCCGTCCTAGAGCGTGTTGGAGTCCTCGTCGGCCGTCTTGAGGGCACCTTGGGCGTCTTCGAGGCCTCTTGGGACCGTCTAGGGCCCGCAAGGGGGCCCCAAGTCGGTTCAGAGAGGCCCCCAAGGCGGCCTCCGACGGCGTCAGACGGGCCAGGAACGCCTTAAGACGGCCAAAGAGGCCAAACAAGAAATCCCCAGATGCTCCCAATAGGCCCAAGGAGACCCCCAAGAGGCCTCCACAAAGACCCCATTAACTCCCAGGAGTCCCCAAGAGCGCCCCAAGAGGCTTCCAAGATGCCCCCTTCTCCTCCTCCTCCTCCTCCTCCTCCTCCTCCTCCTCCTCCTCCTCCTCCTCCGCCTCCTCCTCCTCGTCCTCCTCCTGATTTTCACCGCCATCCTCCCGCAAGTGTTCCCCGATGGGTTTCCACAACGACTGGTGGGAACACATGGTCAGATAGCTTGGCAGAGCTCTGGCCACAACGTGTGGCCACGTGGGCGATTCTAAAAGGAAGCGGGCGGCGGTATTTTGCCGTAGGAGTCTTCGCTCTAACATGTTTTTTTAGGGCTATAGGGGTATAGGGGTATAGGTCCATAGGGGTATAGGGGTATAGGTCCATAGGGCTAGAAGGCTCTGGGGCTATAGGGCTAGAAGGCTATACGGTTATAGGGCTATATGCCCTAGGGCTATAGGGCTATAGTGCTACATGGCTATAGGACTATGAGGCTCTAAGGCTTTAAGGCTATAAGCTCCCAATGCTATAGGTCTATAGGGCTATAGGGCTATAGGGCTATACGGCTATAGGGCTATTAGAGCAATAGGGCTATAGGGCTGTAGGGCCATAGGGCTATGGGGCTATAGGGCTAAAAGGCTATAAGGTTTCAGGGCTATAGCGCTATGGGGCTACTGGGCACCCAGGCACCCTGGCGCCACCGGGCACCTCCGGGCACCCCCAGGCACCCGGGCATCCGGGGACCCGGGCACCCCCGGGCACCCCCGGGCACCCCCGGGCACCCTGGCATCTGAGCACCCGGGCCGGCCTCCGAAATCGGCGACGAACCTCACCGAACCATATGAATCAACTAGGACCCCTACAGAGGCAAGCTCTGACTGGGGAACAACAACCATTATGATCATGAGCATGATGATGATGATGATGATGATGATCATCATCATCATCATCATCAGCAGCATCAGCATCAGCATCAGCATCACCATCAGCATCAGCATCATCGTCATCATCAGCATCATCGTCATCATCAGCATCATCATCAACAGCATCATCAGCTTCAGCATCAGCATCAGCATCATAATCAGCATCATAATCAGCAGCAGCAGCATCATCAGCATTATCTTCATCATCATCGTCATCCCCCTCCTCATCATCATTAACAACGAAAGCAACATCATCATCGTCATCATCAGCATCATCATCGGCATCATAATCATCAGTATCATCATCGTTGTCATCGTCGTTGTCGTCGTCGTCGCCGCCGCCGCCGTCGTCGTAATCATCAATATCACCACCATCATCATCACCACCACAATCACCGTCATCACCCTCAGCATCAGCATCCCCACAATCGTCATCATCATGATCGCCTGCATCGTCATCATCATCCTCATCAGCATTATCATCATCAGCATCTCCATCATCAACATCAACATCATCATCATAAGCAACAACATCATCATCATCATCATCATCATCATCATCATCATCATCATCATCATCATCATCATCATCATCATCATCATCATCATCATCATCATAATCATCGTCCCTATGCTCAGCCTCAGCCTCATCCTCAACCTCATCCTCTTAGCACCTCAGCATGAACTTGCTGACCAATTTCCGGTTGAACTCGGAACCGTGTGAGAAACCTTTGTCATCGTTGTAGTCCTTCAGGAAGCTGTGGGCCTTGAAACCGTTGATGTTCGCCTTGGGCGAGGCCCCCGCGGAAGGCAGGGAGACAGACGGGGAGGGGGGGAGGAGGGGACTCAGCGGAATACAGGAGAGGAGGAGGAAGAGAGGGAGGGAGGGAGGGAGGGAGGAGGAATAGGAGGAGCAGGAGGTTGAGGAGGAGGTTCGACGCCTATGAAGGGAGGAGTCAAAGGGGAGAGGAAAAGAAAATGGGGGCGGGGTGCCCATCCGAGGAGAGCTTTTGCTCCCCGCCCGAGGCTGCGATCCACCTCGGGTGCGTCCCGCAGACAGGGCACCCCACCTCTCGAACGTCACCCGAGCTCGTCATCGGCTGAGCGTCGCGCCGTGCACGCGCCTCCGCCCTGGTCTCCAGGGCTTGCACACCGATGCACTCCGCCTCGCTGCGCTCAACGAAGCCAGGGGCTCGGAGAGTCACGGACAGGGTCACTCGCGGCGGCGGACGCTGCAGAAAAAGGGGGGATCCTTCCCCTCGCAACTTGCTCGCCAGCTTCGGATTCTCCGAAGTGGCCCGCTCATCAGGCCCGAGACGACCACGACGGCGGACGGCCATGCCCCAAGCCACATCGGGTCGAGTCGGATGCTTCGAGCTTCTCGAACGGATCCTCACAATCAAGGCCTTGCTTCCCGAGAGGTGCCGGAAACACAGTTCTTTGAGTCCACGCTGGCCTGGAAACACAGAGCGCTGCCAACACGAACGACATAAAAAAACAAAGAAATGGATTTGCCATTTTAAACAGTTTTCCACAAATGCCTCGACCACCCGATGGCCCTGCATGAGCCACGGGCCGCCGTGGCACCTCTCTACGAAGAGGGCCTGGATCCCGAGCCTTCCTGAGGCTCATCAGCCCTGTTTCCATAACCCGAATCCGACTCAAGGTGGGGCACATCGGGCGGCCAAGCCCCAAGGCCTATCCTCTGGACATTCATTGAATCCAGATGGTCTCCGAACTCCACGAGGAGGAGGAGACAGGCAGGCAGGCAGACAGACAGACAGACGGACGGACAGCCAGACAGACTGACGGACAACCTGACCGACAACCCTGAGATCCAGTGGCCTCCACAGCGCGCCTCGCCGCATGCGCTACACAAATCTCACGCTTGCACCGACCAAAAAGTCCCTTGGCATACTGCCTCACCCCTCGGTTAAAAACAACGCGTCTCTCGTCATGCCGTGCAAAAGCGAGTGGGCAGCGTGGCTGCCAAATTGCGTGTGCAAAGCGGTCGCAGAAAAGAGGAAGAGGGAAACGACTTGCAACTAGCAGCAGGGAAGCACCAAGGAACGAGAGGAGGGGGAGAAGGAGGAGGAGGAGAGCACGGCGCTCACTCACGCGAATAACAAGATCAAGCCCGCGGCTTGCCCCGCGGCCTGCTGGGGACGGACATGCGATGCTGGACCTGGCTCTCCGCCCAGTCGATCGCCGTCTGTAACGGGATGGTGCCGTTCGCGACAATGCTATCCATGCGTTTCGACAGGGCCCAGATCAGTTTGAGGTTCATCAGCTTCGCTGCGCAACGCTCGAGCGGCCCCTTTCGCGCCAGCGGGATGCGCCGCACTCCTTGTAAAGCGTGCGGCCTGCCATCATGGCCGCCTCCAGGGCAAGGAACTTGGGTTCTATGCCGAAAGCCGCGCGACTGGCGTCGTCCTTGCCCTCCTTCCGCTTGGTCGGGCGCGACCGGCAGTAGCGCACCTGACCCGCGAGGTCCATGGCCGACTGCATCCTCAGCACCGTGTTTTTCCAGTACTCCTGGACCGAGGTGCGATGCTGCTCGTCCATCCCAGAGATCGCTGCCAAGGCGCGGACCACCGCCAGCCACACGTGGACGCACGGCAGGCCGAGCGCCTCCTGCTGCTTGAGCCGCTCCTCCGTGCCCTCGACCTTCTTGATCTTCATCGCCTCTGATAGTCGTTGCGTCCAGCGTCCAGCGCGGACGCCATCATGGCGGACGTCTTGTGGACCAGGTCCGTGTGGAAGCCATGCTCAACAGCTCGTGGATCTCGCTCGAGTTGATAAATAATGCTGGGCGGGCAGAGCACGAAGACGAGACAACGCAGAACGTCCCTGGGGTTCCTGCCCTCGGCCTCGGCCACCTCAGCCAAGCGCTTCCGGCGCACTGCTGGCTCGGTGGCGCCATCGCTCTCACGCATCTTGCCGAGAACCCTGGTGGCCCACTGCGACGAAGCGAGGTCCATCGCGACTGCGGGCGAGGCTGATCCGCGGGACGCGCGTGAGTACGTGCTCGTGGGCAGTGATAACGATGAGACGACCTCCCCCACGTAGCGAGAAACACCCATGCAGCGGCCACGCCAAGCAGCAGCAAGCAGGTGGCGAGAGGCTGTACGGCGCGACGCAAACAGCTTGCGACAATTCGGGCACTGACTTGTGATGACGATGGAATGATAATAGTTGTGTAGACCATGGCCCTGGAGACGATGATGGGATAGCGGCTTGTACGTGGTGAAGGAAAGACTGCATGGGACCGACTCCACAGGCCATCTGTATGTCCAAACCCGTTCTCCCGCCACGTTGAATTCATGGGCGCTCATGTTGGGTGGTGCAATCCAATCTGGCGGGGGGTAGCCACGCGGCGATGGGCAGCGCGCATCTCCACCACGTCGACGGAAGAGAAAACTTCGGCGGCCTCCACGTCCGCAAAGACGCTCCAGAGGTCTCCCTGCAGGGCATCAGTGAAAGGTGGCGAAATGGCCTCAACACTTCCGAGGTCATCTGCGAACATGCTCGCCCAAGGGTAGGCGCCTGGCTGGAGACCGGCCGATCCGAGGGTCGGCGCCACAAGGAGTAGAAAAAGGAGGAGGAGGCGAGTGAGAGAGGAGACAAGGAGGAAGGGAGGGGGAGGGAGACTGGGAGGGAGAGGGGGGGGGAGGAGGGGAGGAGGGGAGCGGAGAAGGGAGAAGGAAGGAGGCCGGAGAAAGGTGGAAGGGAGGGAGCAGAAGGAGAAGATGACGCGGCAGGGCCCTGAAACTTCCGGAGCGACACGTCGCCACCGCTGATGGCAAGAGGGCGAGGAAGAGAACGAAGAGTGGCATGATGGAAGAGACTCAGATGAAAACGGGCCTGGGACTCCTGGACCTTCCCTGTGGGGTGCGCCGAAGAGAGGGCCAGAAAGAGAGAGGTCAGCGCACCATGGCCCGAGGCGTGTGCGCGGACGAAGGGGACCAGGGAACAAGTTGACAGAAGACGAGGGGGCCATGAATTCTGGGGAAGTTCATGGCAACCAGCTATGATATCCGACCACATCCAGTCCCCATCCGATTCTTAGACACCCCCACCGTGAGAAAAGAGATCTCAATGCAAACGGGTCCCTCAGGACTGCTTCGTCCTTCGTCCTCAACTGTCCGTCAATAGAGCCCCGGGAGCCGAAAACAATAGAAAAACAGGCGGACCCCAGTTCCTCCAGAACTCCTTTTCTATTCAGGCGGCACGTGGGAGCGGGTGAATTCACTGCCGTCTGATTTGGCGACGGTGCGCGTCGATTTTCGTATGGAATGCGGCACGGCAATAATCGACGCGCCTTGACCAATGTCTGCGTTTCCTCTGTTGATGGCGGCCCCTGGCCGGGCCGAGGGCCCAAGCTGCGACGATGGCCCCTGCGCAGAACCATGCTGGACGAGGCAAACCCTTTGCGCCCAGCGCCGGTGTTCGCCGGCCGCACGCCCCCCCCCAGCCCCCAGGAGGCGGGTGAAGTTCCTGGAGCGCAGCGAGGGGTGGGGCGGCGGGCTGTCCTGGTCGTGGGGTGAGGCGGAAGCGGAGCACTCACTACACAACGCCTGTTGTGCTGTGGTTTTTGGGTGGGCGTCGGGGTCTTTCGCGCTGTCTGGGCTATCGCTCGGGCCAGTGTCCCCGCTTCGTCCAGTTCCCTGTGAGTTGTCTTTGTTTATGTCTCTGTTTCTCGGTCTTCAGGGCCCCGCATCGAGAGGTGATTCAGTCGCGCTAACTTCCAACATACATCCTCTTCTCCGTCGACGTACACTTCTGGCCCAAGGGCCGTTCGTGGCCGGCGACCCAGAAGACAAAGGCGAGGACGACGAGTTTGGGGTGCCATAACGGGCATTCTCCTTAAGAGAGGGCACGCATCTGGACAAGAACGAGCATATGATACACTCTTGACTCGCTTTTTCCCCTGGGGTGCGCACATGAAAAGCCTGCTACATCGCGAGGATTATGGGACATGCAAGGACAAGCAGGTAGGGTGCCAAAGCACAATGTTTACATTAGAGACAGCACGAATCCTGGCGGGAAAGTTCCATGATACACCCCTGGTCGGCTTCCCCCTCGGGGTGCCCGAGCGAGATGCCTGCTACATCGCGGCGACAATGGCGATCCCAAAACAAAGGGATCGGAGCCAAAACCAGCGGTTCGCCTGGGACGCCCCTGTAATGTGAGCGCGAACGGGCCCGTGCAATACCCCTCTGGCGGTTCCCCGCTGGGGCGCCCAAGTGCTACGCCTGCTACATCGCGGCGATCATCCCCGCAATATATATATATATATATATATATATATATATATATATATATACGCGAACGGGCTCGTGCAATACACCTGGCGGTGCCCGTTTCGGGGTGCCCTAATGCTATGCCCGAATATCGCGGCGTTCATGGGCCCCCCAAAACAGAAGAGTCTGGAAAGCCAGAGCCAGCGGTTGAAGCCCACGGCTCGAACAAGGGACCTGCGTGCAAAGCAGCCCCCTGGGAAGGGGACCGCACGTTGGCGGCCATCCCTACCCGCGGGGGCCCCCAAAGAATGAGACGCCCTGAAGGACCAACGGCCCCAGACTCCGTCAGGGGAGCTCTTCTGAAAGCCTACTGTTTCTTCCGCGCCGACTTCTTCCGAACGACTTCGCCCAGACCGCTTCTTCCACAAGACTTATTCCAGACCACTTCTTCCGACGACGACTTCTTCCGCGACGACTTCTTCCGGACGACTTTTTTCCGAACCACTTCTTCCCGACGACTTCTTCCGGACGACTCCGAACGATTTCTTCCGAGCGACTTCGTCCGAAAATTTCACCCCCGCCACGTCGAGCATCCTGCACCTCCTCCTCCGATTCCTTGGTTTGATTATTCTTCTCCCTCGATCTGCTCCACGACGGTCTCTTCCTAAAACGAACTCCTCCTAACACGGTTTTTTCATCGACGAGTTCTTCCGGACGACTTCTTCTGGACGATTTCTTCCGAACGACGTCTTCCGGACGAATTTCCTTCCGGACCAATTTTTCCGGACGAGTCTTTCCGGACAGTTTCTTCCCGACGACTTCTTCGACTTCTTCCCGACGACTTCTTCCGAAACGATTTCTTCCCGACGAGTTCTTCCGAAGATATATTCTGGGCGAATTCTTCCGAAGGCGTCATTTTCCGAGGCGTCATTTTCCGAGCGAGTTCTTCCGGATGAGCTCTTCTGGAAGATTTCTTCCGATGATGATTCTTCTGGGGCGATTTCCTTTGGGCGAGTTCTTCCGGAATAGTTTTTTCCGGGCGACGGCTTCCGATGGTGACTTCTTCTGGGGTGCCTTCGTCCGGGCCCCCTCTTCCAGGCGACTTTTTCTGGACGACAGTTTCCGAGGGTGAGTTTTGCCGATGCGAGTTCTGCTAGCCCCCTCCCCGCTCCTCCTCCTCCTCCTCCACCTCCCCGCTCTTCTTCCCAGGCCTCCTATGATCCTCTCGTCCCTCCTCACTCCTCACTCCTCCTCCTGCCTCTTGCCTCCTATCCTTTTCCTCCCTCGTCCTTCCTGCCTCCTCCCTCCCCCTCTCCTGCGTATCATCTCCTTTTCCTATCCCTTCCGCCCTTCTCCCCCCTGTTTCCTCCCTAGTCCCCCCCTTCCCCTTTCGTTCCTCTGTCCTCTTCCTCCTTCCTCGTCCCCTTAACTCGGCACGCGGCAAAAAGTGCGGGCCAAAAACCGAAACTATTCCACTGTATTCGCCACGTGGCAAGCGCCGGGGGGGCGAACAAATGTGCTACCCGCGACGTGGCAACGCCTGCGGGACTGACACAAATACTCTTCCGCGCGTATTGCCAAGTGGAAGCGACGGGAAAACAAAACACAAATTGCTCCATTTCACGGCTCACCACGTGGCAACGCCTGCGAAGCGGAACACATATTTGTTCGCTCTACTCGTCACGTGGCAACACTGGGGGAACGAAACGAATACTGCTCCATCTTCCCTGCCACGAGGCAGCGCCTGCGGAGCGAAACAGAAACACTCCACTCGAGTCGGCACGTGGCAACGAAGCGGGGAGGCAACAAATGCTACTCCTCTGTACTCGCCGCGCGGCAACGCCACGTGGCAACGCCTGAGAGGTACACAAAAATACAACCCAGTCAACTCGTCACGTGGTTTCGGCTCGGGGGGCAAACGAAAAGTAAAAACACACTCAACTCATCACGTGGCAATGCCGCGCGGAGCGAACATAGACAATCCCACTGCTCTCGCCACATGGCAGCGTCTGGGGCGCGAGGCGAAAATGAAGATTACATTAGATTCGCCACGTGGCAACGCCGCGGGGCGGGAACACATTGAGCGCCAACCCGCTCGCTTCGGGGCAACGATAGGCCGGCGATCAAAATGCAATACAAATGTGCGCGCAACGTTGCCAAACCGGAATTTTGAATTCGACGTGGCAACGCCACGGGGACGAACGCCAAGCTCTACGCGGCACGTGGCTCAAACGCGGACGCAGACGACGATG